CCTGCTGAAGATGTTTGGCTCCAGACCTTTCAGTATAAAATCTATTCTTCATGCTCAGCTGTTCAGTATCTCATGTGAAGAGGAGAGAGGATATTATTTTCTACAGTATTTGAATTGCTGTTTTGTTTGGTTTTGAAATTATGCTCTAAAACCATTATTCTTACTTATTCTGGGCTTTGATTTTTTTTTTCCCCTCACAAAAGGAATGCTTACAGCATTGTCATGAGACAAGAAAACAACAGATAGAGAACAAGGACTAAGGAAGGCAGAGGGAAAGGCTGCATTAATAAAACTACAAATTAGATAAGCATTTGGTGTGCCTGTGCATCCACAAAATAGCACGAAGGTGACAAATACCAAACTTGTTTAGGTCCCTTTAAATTCATGAAAAACTAGTGGTTAATTCACTCATAACAGTCCACATGCAGCTTGTAGCAGATCAATTCTCCTGCTGTGTTTCACAGCATTTTAAAAACTATTAAGTCCTGCTGTGTTAGGAAGGGGCAATCATCAAATGGTACAAAATTCACAGGGAGGAATAAAGAAAGTAAAATATTATCTTAGGAAAGACTGGAAACTTTCCCATCTTCCCCTCTTCTTTCTAGAAGTAACAATACAAACAGAACAATTATGGATTGTATCATGAGATGCACAATGTCATATGACAAAGCCTATGAAGAAGCTCCCCACATTACTGATTTTGTTTAAATTCACATATAAGAGACACCTTATAAGCAAAAGATGAGAAGCTGCTTCCAAACCACAGCTTGTTGTTGATGCCATGCTTCCAGGTACAAAGCCCACCACGAATAGCACAGACTGAAATACAGGCAAGGTCAGTACCTTGTCTCTCAAAAAAAGCAGAAGTAGATGAAACTCTAACCCATTCAACCTCTAAGCACGTAGCTCCTACTAGAAAGGATACACAGGAACAGGATACCAGCTAGCTCCCAAACTCTTAGGGGAAATAAAACTTCCCCTGGCACATCCAGCCCAAACATCATAAGCTGTCATGAAAGGGGAGGGTACCAAACTTAGCCAGAAGATGTTGGACACTAGCCTTGTCTTTTTTGTGCTGAAGCATGCACTATACAACTCAATGGAGGCAGCTTAATAAAAATTAAACATTAAAAGGTAAGAAGATGAGGCATGACTATATGAAATAAGAGGTACAAGTGGAGAGTAAGAAGGAATCAACTTTACTAAGAAGCTATGAAACTGTCCAATCAGTTCTGAGTTATGGCTGTAGAAACTTGTAGGCCGTTCGCACACCGCTACAGGAATGTAAGACAAACCTGAGCTAAGGCTGACAACATTCTTACAACACTGCACAACAGTTACTATGTTGTTGCTCCAATCTTATGCTTTAATTCATCTTTTTATGTCTGCACATAGGTTGCAAAATTTACCATCATTTCTACATGCAGAAATACATGGAGATATCATATATGAGGGCTCAGTTTGATGAAACAGGACTCATCAGAGTCATTACAGTTTTGAGCATCCCATTCCTACAAGGTTCAACTGTTTAGCTTAAATGTAATTTTATTTGCAGTGGGGTTTGAGTCCCTTTATGTAGCTAAACAGCACTCTTAAGGACTAAAACAAATTATCCCAATATGCTCAGCAATTACAAGCAAGACTAACAGGCTGGGAGAAGCTATTTAATGTCACTTCCCTCAGCAAGTTTAAAAAAAAAAAATCTTAAACTTTCTACCCAATTTTCTTCCTTCAGAGGTTTTTATTACAACTGCAGTTTGGATAACAGTCTTAAAATATTACAACCTCTTCAATACATCATGTAAAATTAAGTGTGGGGGGAAAAGTTTTTTTAAATCGAACATCTATATATATCATATGAATGTTAATATTTTTAATTTAGTTGTCTCGCAGACACTTTATTTCCCTTCCACATAATCCAAACAGTAACTAATGTCTCTGTAGAGTAGTAAATGCTTTACTTTGATTTTTAGAAAGCATATACTGTACAATACTAAAATTATCTTTGGTCCCCAAAATACAGAAGTTACAAATTTACATTTGTTTTTGTGTTTAACAAAGTGTATCAGATTGTTTGAAATGAATATTCTCTTTGACTTGTACCCTGAAAACTGTGCTGAGCTCCAATTCTGCTGTAAGTAATAAATAATGTTCCCAGCTCCAGAAAACTTATTTCACATGCAGAAGCAGTTAAGGTCATTCAGGTACACCACACTATGTGACAAAGTGCTACACGGTGTTTCAAGTATACAGAAGTGCATCATTCTGCATTTGTCATTCCAGCTAAAAAAACAACAAAAGCTTCTCACGATTTCACTCCAGAAAAAGCTTGGTGAAGTGATCCTTTTTCTAGGTAAGGAAAGATAATTGAAAGATACCAAATTCATAAACTTAGTGATGCACAAGATCTCCCACACCTCTGAAAAACCCAAATCAGCACAGGGAGTACAGGAGAGGACCAGGGCCTTCTCTTACATACACACCATGCAGTCCTTGTCATTAACCAGGAAACAGGATACTCTCCTAATGCCTTTGCTATGTATCACCCAACTTCTCTTCCTTGATTTCAGATGAGGGTTCCACTCTAAAAGCATGGATCTTCTGGAGCATAATAGACTGTATTTGTGTAAGGCATATTTTCTTTTTTTTTTGGTGTAGTGGGTGGTGGTTTGTAGGTTTTGGTTTGTTTGGTTTGGTCTTTTGGGGTGGAAGGGGGGGGGGGTGTTTGGTTTTGCTTGGTTTCCTTTCAATCTTTTACAAACTGCTGCAATGCTAGGTTACAATTGCAGCTGAGTTATGCTTGTGATACTTTAAAAAAAATCTTCTTTAACAATTGACAGTATCTACAAATTCTCTTTGCAAACTTTGCCAATGCTAGACTGAGTGCTGGAAACCAGCAGGGCTATAACAACTGTACCAGCAATAATAAACTTCATTATTTCATACCACACTGACCATGGAACTGTCATTTACTCCTCATGAAATGCACAGTAATCCTGGTGAGATACCATCTCAATAAAATGTTTATGTTCTAAACCAAACACCAGAGGTTGGCTTAAATAGGTGGGTTTGTTTTTTGTTTGTTTGTTTGTTTGTTTTTGTTTTTTTAAATCAGTGTTCCCTTTGGCATTAACTTCAACAAAGCACAGTAAAATGTTGCTACAGTAACTGATAAACCATTACTCAATAAGAAAACGCAAGGGGCTTTTTAACCTCATTAGTAACTCTTTCTAAATTTTAGTCTCCATCTTAGCCACTAACATGAAATGCACTGTAGGCATCACTAAATTGAAAAGACACCAGTTTTGTCATTATTTTTTCAAAAGTCAAAACAATTCTCTGTTGCTTGACTCAAACACTGCAGCATTAGCTTCACACCTATGACTACCCCAGTTGCCTTGGGTATTAAAAAAGCCAAGGCCCTTCTGCTGATCCTCTATTTTATATAACCTTGTTTTCATGTTTAAAAGCAACCCATCTGCAATGTATTGCCATTTGTTGTTAAGACTCCAGTTAACTGCATTCATCCACTTAAGAGTACAGCTACATAAGAATACAATGCAAAAAGCTGTCAGCTCTAATGTGAGAGAAATTCAGACACACAATTCCACTAATTTAGATTTCATCAGTTTACAGCAGAAAGGAATTCAGCTCTAGAGTTCTTCTCCCATACACCTTTTCTTCACATAACACGCAAGCATGCATATGCCAAATAATGTATTACATACATAAAAAGTACCAATCAAAAAACCAGAAAAATATCAAGAGATACCCTCCTAGTTACATTCTGTTATTGTCTAACTGCAGAATTTTTTTGAATAGAGAAAATATCCTTCTCTTCATTAGAAGTATAATTAAAATAAGAAAACTTCAATTAGATAGGACTATTTCTAAACAAATCAGTACAACCATATTATCCCCCAATTATCTAAACTCATGTTCCAAAGAAACATTACGGGAAAAAAATTGCAGAAGTGCCCAATTAAAAATCAGTTTTACCTATTACCAACACAATCGACCTTCCAAAAAGGAAAACACTTTAAAATCACAATACTGCAACGTTAGAGACTTTTCACAAGAACATCCTAATTTTTTGATAGTTCTTGCTTACCCTAAGCTTCTCAGAAAGGTTGAACCTTAAAAAAAAAAAAAAGGAAAGAAAAGAAAAAAAGAAAACAATGAGTGGAATGCAAGCCTATTATATGGCAACCCTTCTTTCTCTACTGTGCCTTTCAACTCCCTTTTTTCCACCCTGCCTCCCAAGCACATTTATTTTCCCATTATAGAATGAAAAATAGAACATGTCCAAACATTAGGAGAAAACCATATACTTGCACTTGATGCATTATGGTAACCATTCAGTAAACAAGGTAGATTTGCATGCAAAGTTCAGATCTGGCCAGGGTCATGCATGAACTGAATTACGGCAATTTCAAAGTAACCCACAGGGTAGCTACCTCAACACTGTAGCTATCAAACAAAAAAAGAGAAATTGTTGTCCATTTCAGCTACATTAGTGCATCAACAGTCAAACTGGAGGAGATCTTGCAGATAAGAATTGAGCTGCGCTGCCGAGGCTTCATGAGGAGGGATACAGAGTTTGCTGGACACAATACACTGCTGAAGTTATTGCTATTTGCCCCTCATTTTCTTTTCACATGTATTAAATTTACTTTTGGTGGATTTTTTTCCCCTATATAGCCAACCAACCTAGTGTTGGTCTAGGTGTTTATGATAGATGAAGAAACAGTGGCAGAAGATGTCTAATCAGAGCTTGCACTTGGGAGAAGGAAGTATTGTGCAGTTAATCCAAAATGATAGCATACTTCAAAACATATATATATTATATATTATATAAAC